CCCAGGCGGCGGGCGCCCCCGCACCCCCCCCCCCCCCCCCCGCCACTCGTTTCAAAACTAACGACGCAGCACGCCGCCGTCCCTTTGCGCAGGCGCGACGAGCTCTAAGCCCCGCCCCGAGCAACCAGGCCTGCTGTTTCTCCCCGCCCTCGCCCGGGTAGCCGAACCGCGCATGCGCAGTGAAGGAGCCCGGGGTCCCGCAGTTCCGGGTTGTCACCGTCTGGTAGATTCGTGTTGGGACACATTCTCGGGTCCTAGTCAACTAAATGGGGCCGAAGAAGATGGGGGTTGAAGTTTTGATGGCGCGTGGACTGAGCAACAAAAGGGAGAGTTTCAAAATATTGTCAAACGGATTTGAGCGGTGCCAGCTGACCCGAAGCGACCCCAGTGGCTTTGGGAATTCATAGTGCGACTGAGTGCACGGCAACCAAGCCACTTCGTCAGGAGGCCCGATTTCTGTGTGGGCAATTGAGTAGGGATTAAAGAGATGATCCGCATCCGCCTCTACCCTGGCCTCGTCTATCCTGGATTCAGGCCGGGCAAGTCTGGCTTGATAGAGTTCCAGGTGGGTGCGGTGGGGAGTCCACCCCTCCGACTTTAGACTGCTGACCAGGAATGTCACCCCACCAAAAAGGCTTATCAACACTGATGAGTTTTAAAGTGAATCTTGACACACAAATTGAATGACTTTTCATATTAGGGTGAGAAGTATTAAAAAGGTTGCATAATTAATGTTCATATCAATTATGAAAAAATATATTCTTAAAGTCACTGGGGACATTTTTGTAAAATGAAGTTTGAAAAGCTTTCATGTCTGCCAGACATACTGTTCTTTAATTACGTGAGACAGGCCTGAGTGTGTTAGTTTTCGATTGCTGCATCGGCAAGTTGGTGTTTTAACAACACCTGTTTATTATCTCGGTCTTGAAAGTCAGAAGTCTGAGCATGGCAGAGATGGGTGCTCTGCAGAGACAGCTGAAATCAAATGGTCTACAAGTGGGATCTCATCTGGGTTTGGGGTCCTCTTCTGTTGTCGGCAGGGTAATTTTCTCTTGGTTTTTGGGCTCCCTAGTATCTTACAAGACTTCTTGGATAGCCTCTGGCATCAGGCAGCAGTTTTCCTACTACCTATACCACCTGCAGGACCAAGTGAACAGAATTTTAAGGATGAATTTACTTAACTGGTTTCCATAGTCTCTGGAATTGGCTCTTTATTCTGATGAGACCTAAAATATCAAGGACTGTACTTCCAGTAGTGCACTCAACACTGAAATGTCCTAGGCATGATCTCCTTTTTGTTGGGAAAGGTTTTTTCTATAGGGCACATGTGCTCTCCAGAAAGACAGAGTAAGACAGAGAGACAGATAGTGAGAAATCACACCCCCCCCCCCCCGGGGGGGGGCCATCCTCACGCCCC